TTACATGAGACAGAATTGAAATGTACATGAGGGAAAAACCTGTGAAAGAGTTAAGTTGGACTAAGACAATGAATCCAAGGGGAATGTACCCTGCCTGGTCTTATTTGGTTTATCCTATAATACAGAATTCATTTTTATTGGTCATATAAGTAATTGGAGGAACAGGGAAAGTATAAGTATTAAAAAATAATATTCTTAGAAAAAAGGAGGATATTGATCCACAGAAAGATGACACTAAGAAAAGGCCAAGAGAGACTACCGGACATTTAAAAAAAAAAAAAAAAAAGTGAATAAACTTAATTTCCCATTCAAGTAGAGGATGAAGTCATCTGCAGGAAATGGGTAGATTTATATGACTAGAATTGTATGAGAATAGTTAAAATCAAGATTTCTCAACCTTGTCACTGTTGTTCTGGGACAGATAATTGGGCGGAGCGACAGTATGGATAGTGGGGGCTGTGCTCTTCATGCTGGCTGGTAAGTAGCATTTCTAGCACCTACCTATTAGTTCCCAGTAGCACCCCAATTTGGATGAACAAAAATGTCTTCAGAAATGTTCAAATGTCCCCTAGGGAGAACAAAACAACATCCAGTTGAGAACTACTGGCCTGTACTTAAAAATTGCCTCTGCTTGAGTCTCACTAGTCTAAATGACGGTTGAAATTTAAGGTGATATTTATAAATAGAGATACATTGTCTTAGCTGAAACTATTTCTCACACCTAGAAAATGGCTGGTAAATGATGACTTCTTTCCCTCTGTAGTAAATAAATGGAAATGATTGTCAACAATTGGCATTGAGGGCCTAATTTGTGATAAAACAAACCTAATTTTGTGGCTTTGACATTTTCTCTGAAAGTGATGGCAAGTATGAATGCAGAGTATGTGAAAGAAACCAGGAAGTCAGAAACCAATGGAACAGCTTATTTAATCAAGTTGGCCAATACGGTTTGATGTTAATGCTTCTCTTTCTCTGTCTCTGTCCCACTCTCTGCTTTTTCTCCTGTAAGGACACGTTGTATTTGCTGATTATGTAGTAGGTGCTCAGCCATTATTTCCTAAATTAATTTATATACTTAGGCGTAAGATTGTATTTTATGAAAGAGCAATTCTCATCATGAGAATTGCTCTTTCATAAAATTCTTTGACTTATGGGAAAGCTTATTCTAAGTTTTCCGTAAAATTCTCTTTCTTTCTTTTTTTCTGGTGGAACTGGGGATTAAACTCAGGCCGTTGCGCTTGCCAGGCAAGTGCTTATTCTACTGAGCTATCTCCCCAGCCCCATTATTGTTCTACATATGGAATTGTTATTAATGTACTATCCTTCATCCCAAATTTAACTCAATGCCCCATCTCCTCCATTTTTACAATGTAAGACATAAAAGAAATCAAGGATATCTCAAATAACATTAAGAAAAAGAGAAATAACAGTTTTCCCATGTGTTATAAGGATGATGTTGACTATTCCAAAAAAATATTAAAGGTTTTACGGTTTAATATGAAAGGCTTAAAGAAATCTTAATTAGCCTTTGCATTTTCCTAAAAAACAACAACAAAAAAATAGTGACTTGGTTATTCTAGCCAATGGGTTCTTCTAGGTTATAGTCATGTCCAAACATGGGTAAAATTTTAACTTAATAGAATCTTAGCTTAATGTGAATTTTTTGCTGTGCATAAAAGATCTAGCATAGTGTCTGGATCTGATTATGTCTTATAATCAGAAAAACATTGAGGGGTTGAACATGTGATAGAAAGTGAGAGTGCTTACAGAGACAAATGTCACATTACAATAGGCTACAAAATTGTGTTCATATATTCGAAAAAAGCTTAACTACTCGAACAGAAAAATGTTAGGTTTTTCTTCTCTATTTACACAGGGTTCTTTACACACTAATGCTATTAATCACTGGCTTACACTTAAGTTTCCTCTAAAGAGATGGTGGACCTCAACTTGACCTGTGGAGGTCCTTTATGTATCCTTGCAGAAGAGACTTTCAGGACATATCACTAAGAGGCAGAGGTTGATTTATTAGGCAGAATTAGAAAATAGAAGCAAATTGGGAATGGACTTCAGCTTGAGGAGCTGAAGACAGTACATTTCTGATGGAGAAGAGCAGACTGGCCTGACAACCAAGGGAAGGAGAAAGCTCTTATGGGTTGCTGGGGTGGACTAGGGTCTAGCTGATCATTATTTCAATTCTGGTTTTGCAAGTGGTTCCAGGGAAGTCATCTTTATTATACAAGGGGGTAATCCCTCTCCACAAGATGACTGCTCCTGCTTGGGGGCAGTTTTCAGTTTAATGGAGGTTCCACTGATATTTAAGATGACTACAGTTTTAGGAGAATGACTGAAGATGACCATTTTAGTAGGTAAAAGGTGTCCTTGGCCTTGAAGAGGAGTGAAATAAATTACGTAAAGTTAGGGTTAATCAACCCTGTAAGACCAGTTTTTAGACAGACACTCCTTAAATGATTAACACGTCTATATGCAGAGCTGAGCAAGGACTTGGCTTTAAGTTTTAAGGTAATAAAGGAGACAAATGTAAAATGAGGGCAAAGATATCAAGCTTTATGCTGCTTTTAGTTACTCATTAGACCTCTGTAGGCCCAAGGGAAGAAACATTGTGTTTTGGTTTTAGCAAAACAAGCTTTTAAGTCCCTGATTGTCTCAGAAGAAAACACAGATCAAGTTTTCAGCCTATGACAGATTAAAGGCTTGGAAGGTTGTCTGTCCTCTCTCCCTGATGATCCATAACAAGTTTACATTCTCATCTTGTTCATTTTTAGAGATTCTAGGGTGAGTATCCTGCTTTTAACGATGCACCTGGGTTTTTAAGTCAATACGCTTGTTTGGGAGAGTCAGGAGGTAGGGGAAGAATACATACCATACTTTCAATGAATAACAGGTTCAGAGGTAAGGTCCAGATGTGCCCTTGTCCTTTGTTCAAGTGGTGGTCTCTGCCTATTACAGCTCTCTTTCAGTAGTAATTGTCTAGTTTAATATATGCCATGCTAAAAGGTCTGTTCTTGATCTAGTGATGCAAAACAGTCCCTTAGTGATCAAAAGATAGTACAGGAGGCTACACCCATAAATTAGCATCCACAAAACAATAAATTACTTATGCAACACATTTGTGCAACACACTTCATTCCATACATCCAGATTTTCTGCACATTCTGGTTGTTTCTGGCCCAGTCTGGCTACTCACCACAACAGACCAATTAAATCAAGAGATAGGTGTTAATACCAGGAAGGTGTTTTTTTAAAGCTGGATCAATAAGAACGAAAGCACTCTTGTCACCAAACCCTTTTGGGGTGAAAGTGCCCAGGGGCCCAAAGGGTTTTCATAGGGAGGGAAAGGAGGAGGGACCTTGTCATTCAGAGTATTTGTCTCTTTTTCTTTGGTCAGAGTATCACAATGGGCTTCAATCTCCTACAGCTAGTCTTTGTATTGTCTTAAAACAGACATATTTTAAAAAGCTTTGGGTCAATAGCCACATTACTGTAAAAAGATTAATGGCCCATGATCTCAAGAAGATTGCAGCCTGATATGTGAGGCAGGGAACAAAATAATTATTTAAAGCAAGAAAACTGCTCCCAGTGGTTCACTGACAAAAACTGTAGGAGTGACAAACAATTAACAACTAATTCTTGCCAAGAGAATCAGTGGGAGGAACAAAATTTCAACTGAATCTTAGGATAAATAAAGTTTCAACACATGGTAAGAGTACAAGATAAAACAGTAGGAACAAAAACTAGAGGGAGGAGAATCTGAAAGATTGTATTTATAGAATGGCTAAGGGTCAAGGGTTACATAAAAATAGGACTGCAGCTTTTATATTAGAGATTCTAGATTTCATGCTATAGGTTATTGACCGCTGAGAGTCTGGGCATAGAAACGATGGTCTCAGTTAGTTGTTTTAAAACATCCTGCTGGCAACAGAAGGGATGAAAAAGAAAAGCAACCTCAGATGCATATTTGTGAGCTTCTTTAAGGCAAGGATTTATTTTTCTGATTTTTGACCCTGATCCTCAGACTCAAGTATAGCTCATGGCACAAAATACATTTTCAATAAATATTAACTATCATTACTATGGCCTCAAGAGCATAGCATGTGTGTACAATAATGAATCCATTATTACTAAAAGAGATTTCCACAATGTGTAGAACTGATCTGGACAATAAGAGTGTGTACACTTCCATTATGGCTCTTCAGCATAGTTTATTTTCAAGTGTGTGTCCATACTTGTTTTATTTCCATTTAAGTTCAAAACAACAATGTTGCAAATAACTGCAAATTAAAATAGGGAAAACTAACTTCTAAGATTCTCTTCATATATAAAATTTTAGAAACACTGTCACAGAAACAGAAAAAATACAAATAATGTAGATGTGGTAAAATTTCTTCTACATAATTAGAGAAAACTATTTTTAGAAATTTATAGTCATCAATAGAGAGAAAATATTGGCAAATTCTATGGCTAAAAGCAAATATTTCTTTTAGAGTATAAGGGCTGTTAAAGAGCTTGGGCTCTCAAGTCACACTGGCTGGGTTTGCAATTCTGTCTCATATTTTCTAGTCAATCTAGAACAAGATACTTAAATTCTCAGTGCCCCAGTTTTCTCATCTATAAGCCAGGGCTTATAATATCTATAAATTTATTTAGCATATAAGTTGTTGCAAAGCGTTTTAAATAGTGGGTGGTACATAGTTCAGTGCTAGATAAATTTCAGCTTTATAAAATTATTATCCTTAATGTGGTAGAGATTACTATATTATTACAAATATCTGTTCTGTCCTTCTTATATTAATAGAATTTCCAAACTGTAACTATGCATAAAACTATCCAGAATAAATACTATATCCTCAATCTTTTATGACAGTGGCATGACTAAGACCTGGCCGATGAAAAATAAGCAGAAGTTTCCCATCATAGCTTATAAAAATCTTCTTCAAGAGATAACTAGACAACTACCAGATATTCAAAATTTAAAAGTGATCCTTTGGTTCATGAGCGTGATGATTGGGGGTTCATGCCTTATGCATGAGATATGCCTCCCTCAAACCTTGTTACGATGTGGTCACATTACCTGTCTGACGTGAAAAAGTAATTTTAAATTATGAAATCATAAAGGGTTTGTGAAGATACAGAACACTGAGAACTCTCGAACAATGGTGTTGGGGTATAAATTCACACAATCACCTTGGAAAAGTTTAGCATTGATTGGACAAACATGAAGATAGGTATATTCAATAATCCAGAAATTTTTCTTAAATTTATATTCCTGAGACATATACATGTGTACAGGATACATGTATAAGGACATAGTAGCATTATCTTTAATAATAAAAATTATAATATTTGAAAGGTTCATTTATTAGCTTTCTGTTACTAAAATAAAATACAAGAGATAATCAACTTAAAAAGAAGCTTTTTTGAACAGTTTTGGAGATTTCAGTCCATGGCTGATTGACTCATTTACTTTTGGGCGTCGAACAAAGCAGCATAACACAGCAGAAAACAGTGATACAAAGTTCACTGCCTCAGGAATATGAGGAAGAAGAAATGTCCTAAAATTATCTTGAAGGGCATGCTCTCACTAACCTAACTTATTTCCAATAGCCCCCATCTCTCAAAGTTTCCATCACCTCCCAAATGTGCATAGGTAGGGCTGGGGACCAAGCCTTTAACACATGGGCCTTTGGGAAACATTTGAGACTCAAACTATATCATTCATCAACCTCAAGTGGATACATAAATTGAGATATATTTATACAATAAGATACTATTCAACAATAAAATTGAGTTAACATATCTGTATCTACCTATCAGCATCCACTGAACAGAAGTGAGATCCAAAGTAACATAAACACATGGATTAAAAAACAGGCAAACTATGCACTTAGAAATGTACTCTTGGGTGGAACACTTTAAAGAAAATGAAGGCAATGATTACTATAAAGCCAGGATTACAGTAATCTCCAGAGCTAGAGAAAGACTTCCTTTGCAGAAAGTTGTGATTAGTAAAGAAAACACACACTTCTGAATTTCTTGCAACGTTCTGTTTCTTCATTGGAGTTGAGGTTTTATGGGTGTTTCTCCAACAAATATTTTAAAACTGTACACCACTTTTATGCATTTTTTTCAAACATTGCATCTTACACTTTCAACTACAGATAAAGAAATGAGTTCGTTAGCCTCTCTTTTTCATTTTTTTCTTCAATCCTGATGTTTGAAATACATAGTACTGCCTGCAAAGACTATGAAAACAAAGATCACATTACAAATTGTGGAGTAACAAGATAGAAGGAAGGTATGTCCCTGAGGACTTTGTGGAGGCAAAGATATCAGTCCTGATCTTCTAACTTCTGGACTGCATTTGCATAAAAAATCAATTTTACATTATTTTGGACTTATTATTTATACAGTCAAATCTGATTTAGACTAATTTGCCTATATAAAAGATCTTCAAAGACAATGGATGCTCTAAAAAAGGTGTGTGATCTCACACAAAAATATTCATGTGCACATTCATATGCATAATTAGGCAATTCATGAAAGAAATCTAAGAGTCATAAATATCTAAACTACGTTTAATCTCAGCAATAACCATTTGAAAATTAAAATGAGAAAATGTATTTCATGCATCAGACTGGCAAAAGTTTCTGAAGAGCAATATATGCAGTACTGTTGTATATTAAGGAAAATTATCCTTTCTGGCACTGTTAATACAAATTGCTACACATTTCTGGATATTAGAATATTCATTAAATCTGAATGCTCTTACAATTTGATTCCTATTCAACAGCTTATCTCCAAGAAGAATCGTATTGTGACATTATCTCTCAAGGTGAAACTGATGTTTAACACTTAGTTTTTCAATAATCCCCAGAAAGAGAGGTGTTAGTAAAATAAATACTGCATGCTGCTTCTTCAAATCTCCTGGAAGGAGTTCATTGCCAAACTGTAATAATGAAGCCAAGGTCTAGTTACTTTTAAATGTTAGGGCGTGACTGTCAATCAAGGTATAAAATCCATGTGTGCCAATTCAAATTTAACTTCCTGGTTCTCCTCAAAATTTTTTCTGCCATGCTCACCTAGCCAGCCCCCTCCCTTTTGCTTTTTCCTTTCCGTGAATCCGTTTGATTGCTAAATCCTCTTGGTGTCACCTCTGGAAAGCTTTTGCCCTTACCCTCCCTCTGGTCCTGTCGCATTTCGTTAGGATTGGCTATAACAGCATTTTGCCATTTCTTTTCGACCTTTCTCACTGGGCTCCTCGTAGCGTCCCATTTCATTCCCCACCATCGCGCGCTGCCTAGCGTTGCGCAGGGTGTAGTCACCTCGAGGAGCTCAGCTCTGACCCGGATGTTTCCTTCAGTCTGCCTAGGCCTTGTCTCTGTAAACACTAGGCCGCGGCTGACCCACGTGCCCGGAACCTGGGGGCGGGGCTTATCTGCAGCCAATGGGAACGCTGTGTTCAGGGTCAGGGTGGGGTCACGTGGGCAGAGGGTGAGGCGTTTCCCACAGATAAGGCTGGAGACTTTCTCCCTTTTTTCTTTTTTCTTCTTTTTTTTCTTTTTAACCTCAGATAAAATCCGTGAAAGGCGGGTGAGAGCAGAGAGGGAAGGTGTTTTTCTGCTGAGGGTAAGAAAACTGTGGAAGGGCCTGAAGTACTGTGGCCTGGCGGTTTCTGGAAACGCGTGCGGTTCTGTGAGGACGAGACCCAGGACCTTCCACGCGAGGCGGAGGAGCGCGGGGAGGGCGCAGGAAGGGCCGCGGGGCGTCGCTGGGCGGGTGAGGAGGTGGGGTTTAAACAGCACGGGAAGAGCCAATGAGCCTCGCCTCGTCTGTGATTTCTAGTTAGTAAAATGTGATTTTTATACGAGGGAGTGAGGAAGGATAGAATGCTTCAGCCGCCTAGAATGATGAGAGCAGAGGAGAAGCCAAAAGATCCCAAGATTCACACTCGCCCCTGTGCAGGCTCAGGGCATCTGGGAGAGCTCACTTTAACAGCCTTGTCCAAATTATTGTGTGAATTTCCATTTTGGCTAGGTAGAGACCCAACAGGACATGGCACAAGGGAAATAAAATCATGGAGACAGTTAAGGGGAAACAGTGCGAAGTCACTACAATTCAAAATTTTATCATATAAAAAATACAATGCCTGTGTTATTTTGCTTGTTTCCACTATGTCTTTGATTTTGGAAATAAGGCCTGTTTTTCTTTCTTTCCACGCACCAACTCCTATAATATGGGCTCAGGTATCTGTAATTGAATGAAGTACACTTTAAAAATGAAGCTGCAAGAATGAATGTAACATATAGCATACATATAGCAATTTAAACACTACATATTTAGCTTGAATTTCAGTGATACACTTCAATGCAAAAGTGACTCATAAGAGATGATGAATCTGAAGCGTAGGTTTCCTAAGAAAGGAAAATTTAAGCTAAATGCTGATCATAAACGGAATGGCTAACCTAGTAGAGTTCTACTTGTTAATTTCTTAGAATGACTTGTAGGGGCTGGGGAGATAGCTCATCAGCCTAAGCACCTGCCTGCCAAGCTCAAGGACCCAGGTCCCCCCCCAACCATACTACATGCAGCACCAGCCCTGGAACCCCAGGCTCACCAGGCTGGCCCACAGAAACTGGGCTGGTGGTGAACACTTCTAATCCCAGCGCTGGGGAGATTGAAACAGGAGGATCACTACAAGCCTGAGCTACATAGCGAGACCATGTACCAAATAAATAAATAAATAAAACATTTAAAAAAATAAATAAAATGACTTCTAGAGTGAGACACAATCAAATTTTAGGGAAAGTATAATAACAGGAAATTGAAATTCCAGAATAAATATTTGCTTCAAAGGTCAGCAGCACACTAGTGGGGAAAAGGCATAAAGATGCAATGATTGGAAATATTTTTAGAAAAGTCTTCATGAGTTAATAATGCCCTGTTAGTGTTGTTTAAGAGAGTGAAGATTATGCTATATATTGGCACCACATTCAATTCTACCACAGAACCTGATATTTAAAGTTTGTATAAATCATTGAGGTGAGTTTGATTGAAAAGCTTATTATAATATCAAAACATTCCTCTGAATCATCAATCAAAATAAGTATGTTGAGAACTATTTTAAAAGTTTGCTGTTAGTTTTTTAAATCCTAAGATCATTAACTGAAAATAGAGGAAGATTGTGGCTAAATTTTGCTTCAATACTTTCTCTACAGATAAAGAAATAAACTTCAGACAAATTTAAAATAAAACAGGAAAAGATCATTTGGATTAAAAAATCATATTTCATTGAAAAATTTACTAAACTACTGTATAAAAACATTTGGCTTACCTTTGAATTCCTCAAGATAATTTTAGATAACTTTGATAAATTGGACTCTATTCTAAAGTAATTCTTAAGTTGTAATTTATTGAGTTCTCATTAAATGAAAACTGCTTGGACTAATTCAGCATTCTAAATTTTACTTCTTGCTTCATCCAATGGATTTGTTCATATCCCCATAATGATATTTTGACTTAGTCGTTTTACCATATCCCATAGTTGTTTTATTCTAAATGAGCAAGCTATTCCAGAATTTTAACTTCCAGATTTTTATCTCCTAAACAAGAGAAGTGAAATAATTTTCCAACTCTAACTCTCCTGCTTCAGCAGAATTCTATCCTTGGTTATATGATTTTTAAGACCACTTGAGAAATTACTTTGCTCTCTGGAACTCTTTGGATCTTTTGCCACAGAATGATCACATTAAATATATTTCAAACCACCAACTAACATTTATATTGATTAAACAATATAAAAACTATACAATTTTATAACAATACCCATTATCGTCAGGTTTAAAATCACAGCAATAAATGTTACCTTATACTTAACTCTTTTGATTCAGAACCTTTTTAAAAACGAGTAAAGTTTTGTGATTATAAGAGACTTTATACTCTTGATTTTGCTACTTTACCAACATTTAATGCTTCTATTTCCAGGTGTTGAAATTTGTACCACTTTCAAAGAAATCAGATTATGTTTTCAGCATTCAAATATTATGCAAAAGATTATTTATATGAGGTACAGTATTATGGCCTA